AAATGGAAAAACAGAATGGACAAATCCACAGTTGTAGGTGTGGATTTCAGCATGCTCTTCTTAGCAAGTAGAGATGGGGAAAAAAGTTGATAAGGATGTGAAGCATCTGGGCAACACAGCAGGAAGACCTAATGGACACGTGTAGACATTGCCCCTCAGTCAGAACCTAATAGACTTTTTCCAGGCACTCAAAAGACATTTACCAAGATAGACCTTATCCTGTGCTATAAAACAAACTTCAACAAATCTGATATAATTGAAGTCATAGGGTATGTTCTATATCCTAATAAAATTAAAATAGAAATCAATGACAGAAAGATGAATGTCTGTGATATTTAAAATTTCATCAATACAACTCTTCTCAATAATACATGAATCAAAGAACATGTCTCAGTGGGAATTTTAAAGATAGGCAGAAGTGCACTGTAACGAAAATATGTGGATTGCATTAAAACAGTGTTGAGAGTTAAATCTGTACTATTAAAAGCTGATATTTTATTTTTTGTTTTTAAATTTTTTATCCATTTTAATAAGATAAAAGATAAAATAACCTTGAAACACTTTCAAAACAGGTTAGTAGGACAGTTACAATAATCAATACATTGTATGTTGTTGTCTTCATAGTAGTTATTCAGAGGACAAAATGTAGACATGTTATCTTGTCTAAATAATATTAGTACAAACCTTTCTTCTCATTGAACTAAGAGAAAGTAGCTGTATGTCTATCCTAACTATCTTGTATATACATATATAGATGCTGATGTTTTAGAACTAAAAGCTAAAGAAGCCTAAAACAATCAGAAAAAAATAATAACAAAAGCCAATGAGATTAAAAAGAGGGGAAAATCAGTGAAACAAGACACAAGAGCATAAAGGAAGTTGGGCATGATGGCTCATGCCAGTAATCTCAGCACTCAGAAGCCAGAAGCAGAAGGATTGCCACAAGTTTGGAGCCAGCCTGGGCTATACGGTGAGGTCAAGGCCAGTCTGAGCTACATAGTAAGACTCTGTCTCAAATAATGAGAGAGAGAGAGAGAGAGAGAGAGAGAGAGAGAGAGAGAGAGAGAGAGAGAG